CAGTCCTCCTTTTGTAAGTTCTGTCCTCCCTCGAAAAGTGTCCTCCTACATGTCCTCCTTTTTAATATTTGAAGACTAATCTGCAGGGCTTTTTTTTCTCATAGAACGCTCAGAACGGCGTTCTGGCACTTTTTTTGATGTTTTTTTTTCAACTTTTGCATGAGCTGTGCTACTCCCCCTATTGGCTTTCGAAAGCCAACAGGAATTGCTGCTGAGCATGCCAAACACCCAGCCGGCAAACTTTGCACGTGCAAGTTGTCTGCAGCGAAGGTGAATTGGCAGGAACTTAGCAACCCTGCCTGCTACCCAACTACACCATCTCCTAGTTAGTTCCGAAGATACCATGCTGTGGGAACCACGGGGCCCTCTCTACACAGGACTGCGCAGGGTAGGCAGTGGTACTGGCGGGGCGGCTGCAGGCGGGGTGTGTCGATGGGCTGCCCCCCAGGGCCGGAGCTGGTGCAGCTAGTGCTTTGGGAGCCGCGGGAGCCGCTCTACATGGCAGGGCAGCGGTGCTGGCAGGGTGGCTGCGGGCGGGGGCGCGGCAGGCAGTTGACTTTCCATGGGCCGAGCCAGTTTTTACGATATTTTTTTCTTCAATTTATTTGTGTCCTTTTCATTGTAAAAAAGTTGGTCACCTTATATAAAGCACTATGAAATGATATATACAAATATACAAGGCAGGTGTCTGGGGCTGGGGGAGTGCCGAGTTAACTTTTTAAAATCAAAGTTTTACACATAAATCCTTTTTTTCCCAATAAAAACAAATGTGTTTATTACATGATATATAATAGATAATACCATATATACATATTATATATTTAAAACATATTTATATGTATATGTACAAAAATACTGTTTTTCAAAGAAGGCATATTCTACAGTATTATAAATTCTGGCTGAATAGAATAGTTTAAGAAAACAACCTTAAGGTGCTATTTGAACTATTATCACATATTTGACTTATCAGTTTGCATTTTGCTTAACTTATTCCATTTACTCATTTATATTTCTTTCCTTTATTTAATAAATAGACAAATTTAATTTAATTGCCTAACTAGGTTGATTTTTATAGTTATTGTGCTAAATGCATCTCTATATGGGTCTGTCTATGGCTAGTATAAAATAAGAATAGAGAATAAAATAAAGGAGCCTTTGCTACCCAAGGGCCTAATCTGTGGGATTTCAGATGTTGCTGAGCTGTAAATCTAATTCCTAGAATTCTCACCACTATTGGCTGCCTTTTAGCCTGAAATACAGTCTAAAATCTGTTGATAAGATTAAAATGCTGAATGTTGAAGAAACAATGTGGTATTGAATAAGTGATTAGAGCTGACAAAAATTGAAAGCAAATTAATGTTCATAAAATAAGGACAGGGAAGATGGCAAACGACTAATTTGCACAGTCAGCAAGAGTTCGTTTCCTAATTTCTGTTCTGTTGAATGACTTCCTTTATCTACCTCATGCTTAGATTTTTCTAAAGTATATTTTATTCTTTTTATTTGATTTAGTATATGTGAGAATTGAGCTCACTAAATATATTAAAATATTAGAAATATAGAAAAGCACAGCTAAAGCAAGTGATCCCCCATTCTCCGTAATTACAGTTAAAAAAAACCTTTGGAAAAGAGAGTTCAGGAAAGGTTTTGAAAAGAGAGAAATAATATCAGTCTGGCTCTGCTATTATAGTCATTTGTATATGCTTTCTTTGAATGATCTTTTAAGTAGTAAACAAAATTCAAAGTACAAAAAAAAATAGAAAACTATTTTATTCCTCCAATTTGGTATTTTAATTTTATTAAATGGCTGGTAGTGAAATGTTTTCCTTCACTTTATTACATGCTTCTCTGCATTAATATACCTCTGCTGAAATATAATTTTTTAAAGTGTAATATTTTAAGATTATTACAAAAGTAACACTTTGCTTCTGTGAATAGATGCTAATGAACTCGATATCTTGAAATGTTTCTAGGTATGTTTATTTATCTTTGCTCATTCCACTGGAGAAGTATCAACATAATAAAATAAAATGTTTCATCACTGTGCATAGAGGAGCATACCAACTTTACTACAGACATAGAGGCATTTATGTAGCTTAAATGATTATAAATGAGGGGATTTTTTGCATGAAGAGTTTATCTTATCTGTGTACTATAGTACAAGGGGGTCCAGTTGAAATCTCTTCCAAGAAGAAGATAGCAAGATCAACTTATTTGCTAAGTTTTCTTCTCGACCCTTAAATTTGTATACCCAATATTTTTTCTTGCTAATTTTTCCCACAATAACCTAACTAGGAAGTCAACTAGGTTGAAAATTAACTAATGAAGAGCTCACACTTAGGACACAATAGAATGAATATGCTTCTTTTCAGCTTTCATTAAGATGGAAGTGATAAAGAAAAGGTATGCAGGAAATCGTCAACTTATGACCACAATTGAGCCCAACATTTCTGTTGCTAAGTGAAACACTTGTTAAGTTAGTTTTGCCCCATTTTACAACCTTTCTTGATAGAGTTGTTAAGTGAATCACAACAGTTGTTAAGTTAGAACACAGTTGTTAAGTGAATCTGGCTTCCCCATTGACTTCGCTCATCAGAAGGTCACAAAAAGTAATCATATGACTCCAGGACATTGCAACTGTCATAAGTATGAGTCAGTTGCCAAATGTCTGAATTTTAATCATGTGACCACGAAGATGCTGCAATGGTTGTAAGTGTTAAAAAATGTTCATAAGTCACTTTTTTCAGTGCCGTTGTAACTTTGAATGTTGTATGTCGGAGACTACCTGCATTCATGTTGGTCTGGATGTGAGTACAACTTTCAATAGGATCTAGGGCTCTATTTTAGCTATGTGCTGGATCACGTGACACCTGTCCTTGCCTTCAAATCAGTACTGTATATTCAGATCTCCAGATCTCCTTTCTCTACAGACAAAAAGGACTGGTCTGAGCGCAAATCCTGCCTGTGTTCCACTTTCCACATTCAAGGAACTGTCTGAATAAGTTATAATGATGGCCCAAAGTCCTCCAGTGAATTTGCAAATTGGTCTCTTGAGTCCTGGTCTAACACTTTAAGCACTGAACCACATATGATAATCAGTGCTATTTTAGAGAGGCCCTCATAGTTTGAAAGTCATTTTTCTGGAAACGGCAGGGAAAAAGAAAGATAAACAAATTGTGTACAAATCTTGTTTAAATAGCTGTTAAATTAGCAGGAATTGGCCCATAAATATATGAACTGGAGGAAAAATTAGCTTTTCATGAGGAGCCACTATAGTGAAACAGCTACTACGGTACTTTTTTTTTAAAAAAGGAGCTTATAGTTTCAAATGTCCATAATTATGATGTCTATAACCAAGTTTAATACTGGTTCTTTCAGTGTGATAACATACAATAAACTTGATAAAGGCATTAAGTGATAATTCTTAAATATATCTTGATATGGATTTTCCCACACACTAATACCTATTTTGAAAAAAAATCTCTATTTTTCTATTTTTCAGTTATAAATCAAATTTACACTTCAATGAAACTCCATATCAAATGAGACATAAATACAATCATATTTATGATGTAGTGCTTGCTATACTGGGGAATAAAGAGGAAAAACAGTAGGCAATTGCGCACAGACTCCTTTCTTGTTGGTTTACCCTTATTATGGCTTCTTCTAGCTAGGAATTGTTCTTGTTCTTGTTATTTTAGATTTATAGGCTGTTTAATTACTCTAGACATCTTACACTTAAAAAATAGTAAACAATGAAAAAGGATGTTTTATTCTAAAATTTGGTTACTTTTTAGAGAAAGAATGTTCTTATTAAAGAACTGGCTCTTTTTTTACAACAATCTCTATATATGCTGACTCTGTAAACCACTTAGAGAGGGCAGTAAAGCACCATGAAGCAATATATAAATCTACGTGCTAAGTGCTATTGCTTTACATCAGTTCAGTTATTCTCGGTAAAATGTATAATGGCATTACAGTTGTTCAAATTAAATTATTTCTGTAAACAATTTGCTTCACTATCAGAGAAAACAGTGCAAGCTTGAATAAAAGTGTAGTATTTCCATAAGTTTCCGCCTACCTCCTTGTATGTATTTATAATCTGCCTGCGTCTTTGTATTTATAATCTGTGCATTTCATTTTTTTCCTGAATTTTACACAGATTTGTGTACTTTGGTGTCCCCTGAGATTTCTCTACCATTCCCTTGTCTGTAGGCATCTTTGGACCTCTTTGAAATATCTTTCTCCATATCTAGAAAGCAGTTGACATTTTGTTTCCTTGTAGGGGAGTCTTCAGTGATAGCTTCAAGATGCATACATGCAAAAAGGGCAAAGCTGATGGCATCATGCTGCTTTCATTGTTTGGATGAAAGCATGAAACATTTCAACAGCTCTGGATAATGTGTTTGATTACTTTTTAAAACAGATTATTTTGACAAACTCCTTGTTATAAAATATTTTAATTGTTTAATTAAATTAAAATATTGTCTTGTAGAGTAATGAAAATAAAATAAAGAATCCATTCAGGTTCAAATTACACTCATTTGTAAATTATGAAAACAGTCTTTCCCTGCTTACTGGGTTGTACTTTCAACATGCATCTTAATTTCATTTTCTTCCCAAATAGTTTTGGGATTTCCAATTGTATTTCTGGGTGGAGGTTAAAAAAAAAGAAAAAGGAAAATGGAGTTATTTGGCTTTCTGATTCTAAATATACAGTAGCTATACTTAGGGAAACTGTAAAACAACATAATCACAGATACACAGATTCTGGGGTGCTTGCCTTGAACCTTCTACCTTAGTTTATGAGCTACATACAAAAATCATCCAAATTAGAAGCATTTAACAAAAAGTATGTAGTAAATTGATACTGGGCTGCTATTTTCTAGAATTTGTGGATTCTCCTCTGAAATGATCTTGGACATTCTGTTCATTATTTTTCTACTAAAATGAGCAGTAATTTTGGAAAATAACTTAGTTTATTATTCTTTTATTTTTAGTGCGGCATTTGGAGATGACAACTAAAAGGAAAATTATTGGCCGCCTGGTGCCATGCCGATGTTTTCGAGGGGAAGAAGAAGTAATTTCAGTGCTGGATTACTCCCACTGCAGCCTTCAGCAAGTGCCAAAGGAGGTTTTTAACTTTGAACGGACATTAGAGGAGCTTTATCTAGATGCCAATCAAATTGAAGAGCTTCCGAAGGTAAACGCTTCCTTTCTATAATATGTAAATGCAGCTGTCTAGCTAAATGAACTTTTGAAATATACTCTATGAAAAGAACGTTCGGTATAGGCAAAATTCATTCTGGTGGGTAATAACGCCCATTTTCTAGTCTTTAGAAAAGTTGCTTCTGTTGGCTTTGCTTGCAGTTATAAAAAGATTACATAATAAGATAAAACTTGATTTTGTGCCTGCAAGTGCATCAATTCAAAATTCTCCATTAATTCATAATACTGAGACATCCCTGGAAGAATTGAGATATTGCAAGGATCCAAAACTTTTTTTTTTTAACTAGTGGGGAAATTTGGAATTTTTGCAGCCCTGTATGATTTTTATCTACTGATGCTAGGAATGTGCTGGGTAGTTTTGCAAACAAAGATTAGGCCATGCCAGGACTTCCTTTATTTTTTTTAATTAAAAAAAAATCTGAATAATGAAATAAAATTGGGGAGGAACATGGATTTAGGGCCTTTAGTGTGCCCAGGGACCCATTTCTAGGTTGTATGGATATAATATTTTGTTGACTGTTGTGTATTTTAAATTTTGTATTGTTGCAGTTTTTATTTTATTTTAATTTTGGCCGCTTCCCAGAGTCATTTGTTGAGATGGATGGCTATACATAGATAGATAGATAGATAGATAGATAGATAGATAGATAGATAGATAGATAGATAGATAGATAGATGAAAGAAAGAAAGATGAAAGAAAGAAAGAAAGAAAGAAAGAAAGAAAGAAAGAATCTTAAGCTTTTCAGTCATAAACAAAAAAAGTAAACCATGTCAACACATGTATGTTTACCTGTATTTTGTGTAATGCGGATTTATTTCATTACTTATCAAGACATTTATCATTTAACATTTGGTATTATTAATTATTCGTTCATGAAATATTCTTTATGCATGGAATGTGAAGCTTGGATTATCATATTCAAAACAGTGCATATTTATTTAATATAAAGTTTTACAGATTTTGATATGTCTTACTCTCTGTGTAAATAGGACTATATTAATACCTCATTACCTTAATTATTAACTCCCATTAATTTCAACAATAAAATTAAGCTTGTGTTTAAAACTCTGCTATTACTCTGTAGAACTTACTGGAGGCTAAAACATATAAGGAACAGTTGCTGGAATTGGGTATGTCTAGTTTAATGAAGAGAAGGACAAGGGGGGACATGATGGCAGTGTTCCAATATCTCAGGGGCTGCCACAAAGAAGAGGGAGTCAAGCTATTCTCCAAAGTGCCTGAAGGCAGGACAAGAAGTAACGGATGGAAACTAATCGAGAGAAGCAACCTAGAACTAAGGAGAAACTTCCTGACAGTTAGAACAATTAACCAGTGGAACAACCTGCCTCCAGAAGCGTGAATGCTCCAGCACTGGAAGTTTTTAAGAAGAGACTGGACAGCCATTTATCCGAAATGGTGTAGGGTTTCCTGCCTGAGCAGGGGGTTGGACTCGATGACCTCTAAGGTCCCTTCCAATTTTAGTAGTAGTAGTAGTAGTAGTAATAGTACTCTACTATTAGAAATATCCATTCAACACTAAACTGGGGCTTTGCTTACCTCTTTTCCTATCCTTATAGCCCAGTTCAGATGCTTGATGCAATGACGTTTCCATTACGTTGAACAATTGGAACAATTGTACAATATATATATCATAGTGCATTGCTATGTATTTATATATTAAGATGTTATTTGAAAAACTCTGGCTTAAAAATAGCATAAAGCATTGTATGTATTAACAAAATATAGGTTTATGCTATAGATTGTCTCTTAAAACTAAAAAGTACATATTTTTTAATATTTATTGTTATACTTTTGACATTGTCACTAAAGTGATCATTCTCCTCCACCATCTTCCTGTATCGCTGCTGCTGAATATAGATGCCTGCTTAATTTAGCTAAGAAACTGGGCTAACTTTCATACCTTGGAATATACATTTTCAGTGTCCATGCCTGGTTTTCTTCACTCATCCCCTTCCAGACTCATTCCTGTTCTGTTCTCCATAATAAGGCAACATAACAGCATTTAGGAGAAAATACCAATTAGAGGTGATATAAAACTATCATATTCCAGTGCATCATTTTGGTATCGAATGGCTAAATTCACATGAATGTTTTTTGTTCAGTGCGAAGGCATATCATAATAGATGAATCAAAAGTTGGAATTAAGATTGCCGGGAGAAATATCAACAACCTAAGATATGCAGATGATACCACTCTGATGGCAGAAAGTGAAGAGGAACTAAAGAGCCTCTTGATGCGGGTGAAGAAGGAGAGTGCAAAAGTTGGCTTGAAACTCAACATTAAGAAAACCAAAATCATGGCATCCGGCCCTCTCAATTCCTGGCAAATAGATGGGGAAGAAATGGAGGTAGTGACAGATTTTATTTTTCTGGGCTCCAAGATCACCTCAGATGGGGACTGCAGCCAAGAAATTAAAAGACGCTTGCTCCTGGGGAGGAAAGCTATGGCAAATCTAGACAGCATTCTAAAAAGCAGAGACATCACCCTGCCAACAAAAGTGCGTATAGTCCAGGCCATGGTTTTCCCAGTTGCAATGTATGGCTGTGAAAGTTGGACCATAAGAAAGGCTGAGCGCAAAAGAATTGAGGCCTTTGAACTATGGTGCTGGAGAAGACTCCTGCGAGTCCCTTGGACTACAAGGCGTTCAAACCGGTCAGTCCTAGAAGAGATCAACCCCGACTGCTCTTTAGAAGGCCAGATCCTGAAGTTGAAACTCAAGTACTTTGGCCACCTAATGAGAAGGAAGGATTCACTGGAGAAGAGCCTAATGCTGGGAAAGATTGAGGGCAATAGAAGAAGGGGACGACAGAGAATGAGATGGCTGGATGGAGTCACTGAAGCAGTAGGTGTGAATTTAAATGGACTCCAGAAGATGGTAGAGGACAGGAAGACCTGGAGGAACGTTGTCCATAGGGTCGCGATGGGTCGGACACGACTTCGCAATTAACAACAACAACAACAACAGGATATAAGTGCAAAAGCCCCTTCGATTTACATTCTGTAGCATCTGGCATAACAATGCATACTTCATTCTCATAACCATGATCTTGGAACTATTTTTTTTCTGTTGCTTTTAGCTTATCTTCAATAACAATTGGTGGTGGTGGTGGATTACCAAAATTTGATTTTTGACTTGGTGAAATTAAGATTGGTCAAGAATGGCCAGGCCCATTAGGACTCAGTTTCAAAGAAGACAGAAGTTAGTTTTATTCTCCGTTGGCAGCAGTGTGAATGTTCATTTTAGTTAATTTTCCGTTTATGAGGAAAAAAACTGCTAACTTCCTGATGTGTAATAACCTGGAATTTCTATTTCTCTGACTATAGAACAGGAAATATATATCAAATTTTACTACTACCAAGTTATTACTTTACTCAATAGTGTTGTTTGGTTTCTGGTATTTGCCATACAATCAATACAATGTAAATGAACTCAGTTTATCTCAATAGTAGGGACAGTGGTAATAAGAGTAGGAGTGCCCGGCCAGTGCTCAAAAATAACAAGGTGTGCTAGCAGAATGTAGTCCATTTTTCTCTTCATGGTTTTTGCTGTTGGGCAGAGTAAGAGCCTTTGCTGCACTAGATCTATCTTATGTCAAAATAGAAATTTGAGAGTTTATGATAGTCTGTTTGCTTGTACTGTATACTTTGTTGCATTGATACATACCATTTGTTCCTAACTGAATATACCTGCCTGTAGAATTAAACCTGTGTGTTTCATTGGCACTGATTCCAAATGAAATTGCTCTTCAAGGACTATTGTCTGTTTAGAAGTTAAGCAGGAGCTAAAGCCACGGTAATACAATAACTATGGATATAGGAGGCATTTGAAAAGACATGTGTGTTTCATCACCTACAGTAGTATACTTGAGGGCTCCAATTGCTGCCATTCCCATTTATTTTTCTCCATATCAATGGACATCTGCTGCAGTTATAGAAATTAATTGTTCACAGCTTCAACCCATGACTGTTGTGCTAGGTTTGCCTCTAACCATATTGTGAAATAGGCGGAGGATACAAAAGTAGTGGGCCTTATTCAAAATGACAATGAGGGTACTTACCACAAGGAAGTAGAGGGTTTGGTGAACTGGTGTAACAAAAACATCCGCATTTTAAACTAGGAGATCATTGTTGATTTCAGAAAAGGCAGGCATAACCACATACCTCTGTGTATTAATGATTCCCCCGTGGAGGTGGTTAGCAATATCAAGTTTCTGGGTGCACAGCTAACGAGTAGACTAGCTTGGTCGCTCAACAGTGAGACACTGGTGAAACAGGCACAGCAGCACCTGTATTTTCTGAGTCACATGAGAAAAGCACACCTTCCTTCCTTACCACTTTCTGCAGAAGGATGATCGCGAGCATCCTGTCATATTGCATTACTGTCTGGTTTGGTAGTATTACTGCTTCAGACAGGAAGGCGGTGCAGAGAGTGATATATATACGGGATATATATAGAATAGCATATACACACACACGTATATATGTATATAGCATGTGTATATGTGTGATACATATGTGTATGAGTAGATATATACTTTCGAGAGCAGGCAACAGAATTTCATTTTTAATGTGGGTTAGTGTGCTCATAGTAAAAAAGAACAATAAAGGTTATCTTATCTATCTTATAGGTGGACAGTGAAAAATAGGGTTTTAAAAAAATCATTCATTTCTCGCCTTCTATGAGATAATTCAAAAAAAGTCAGAAACTTGGTTTCCTAACAATTCCTCTTTATGCCATCACACTTCTCTTTTGTATAATCTTCCTCTAAAAATAGAAACATCAAAAAGTTTCTTCACTCCTCCCCCCCCCCGACTCTGTCTGCCCAAGTAGCTACACCTCACATTTTGGGAAACCCTGTTCTATCGTCTATTGAAGCCACAGGGATTTAAAGCCTTCTTGGGAGGAATAAGATGGTTGAGAAATAATGTTGCAGAAGTCAACCAGAACTAGATCTCACAGTTCAAGAGTAAAATATTTATATAGACCAGTGATGGCAAATCTTTTAGAGACCGAGTGCCCAAACTGCAATCCAAAACCCACTTATGTAATATTGGGTGCCAGGTGGGCGTGTCCCATTGTGTGGGCATGGCCCATTGTGTGGGTGTGGCTTCAGTGATAATGGCAGACTGGGTCAGACTAAAAAGTTCAATCAATCAATTCCAACTTTGCAAGATCTTTTTTTTCTCTGCGAAAACTTGAAATTGACTGATTGAACCTTTTTTTTTTTTTTTGCACATGGCGGTGGAAGCCTAAAACGAAAAGGTTTTATAAAACCCAGCTGAAGGCCTAGGACTGGGGCGATGGTGCATGTGCCCACAGAGAGGGCTCTGCATGCCACCTGTGGCATGTGTGCCATAGGTTCGCCACCACGGATATAGACTATCCCAAGTCTATAGAAAAGTCTTTTGAAGTTATTTAAAGTATCAATATCAGTCCTTCCTGTCACTTCCCCATAAGAGGAGAGGGTCATGCTTGCTTAATATGAGAGCCAGTTTGGTCTAGTGGGTTAAAGCACCATTCTAGAAAGTGGGAGACTGAGGATTCTAGTCCTGCTTTAGTTATGAAAGCCAGCTGGGTGATCTTGAGCCAGTCACTCTCTCTCAGCCCAGTTCAGCTCACCAACATGGTTGTTGTTCTTGTTGTGGGAAAAATAGGAGGAAGGTGTGTAGGGTATGTTTTCCGCCTTGAGTTATTTATAAAAATAAAAAGGCGGTATACAAACAAATAAATAAAACTCCTTCAATTTTAACCAATTCAGTGTGTAGATAAGTTTTGTTTTTCACAGTTCCTTATCAGCAAGTGCTGATCTTAAATCAAAAAAATAATCCTTGTCATTTTTTTGTAGAGCTCAAGCCTACAGCTCCATGCATATAAAACATTTTAAAATCACATGCTTTTGTTGAACTGCTTAGTTTAAAGACATCGAGGCACAACTACATCAAATAAGCCTAACATCTTCTTACATATTAATTGGGCAGACAGTACTAAAATCCAAAGATTTCTTGGCATTTTTTAAGATTAAGAATTACACTAACAAAGCTATAATGACAATTTATATTTTTCAAGACCAAAATGATTAATTGTCATAAAGCATCTTTCAGACATACTAAAATACCAATCTTTTCCAACTATGGAACTTTTGAGATGCCTTTCAGGGTTGAGAATTATGACATTATATTGTACCTTTATGCTAACAATATGTTAACAATAATATTGGCAATGTAGACATTCCTGCCTTAAAAGAATAAACAGATTGAAGATGTTTTCAAGTTGAGTTTAATTCCTGGTGACTTGAACGGATCATCCATGCAATTTTCCCAGCATGATGTAATACTTCTGTTACAGCTTTCTGCTGTTGTTGTTTGTTTACTTCCCAGTATAGCTAAAACCCTAAACAAGACTTAAGCATGGGTACATATTACATGTCAGTAATATCAACTTAAATGCTCCAGATCATTATCGTTTTTGGACAAATAAGATTTCTTGAGAAAATGTATATAATAAAAGGGCTGTTACAAGTAATTTCATGAACAGTTCTCACATTTGCTATATTATTTATTTCACAATAAAAAGTGGATGAAAACATTATTCCTAAGAGAACCATTTTCATAATGGAAAACAGTTTACTTTAAGCTGCTACATTTATTTGTGCCAAAGAGTGGCTTTTATTCAGTTGCTCTCAGATTTCTAAAGAAATACATTTTGAACAGATAGGTCACTTCATGAAATATATCAAAGACAGTTATGCAAATGCAAATCTGCACACTAGATGTCTCAAATATCTTCATTTGCAGTTTATTCAACATACATTCTACAAATTTTAATTTCCCATAGGTTAGATGTTTACCCTCTAAAAATAATGAGTTTTATTAATTTTACTGTGAGCACCAGTTTGATGTAAAGATGAAAGGCACTGGTCTAGAAATCAGGAGGCTATGAATTCTAATCTTGCTTTAAGAACAAAACCAACTGGGTGACTTGAATCAGTCATTCTTCTTCAGCCCTAGAATGAAGGACAACCCACTTCCGAAAATGTAGCCAAGAAAACAGCAGGGATTTGTCTAGGCCAGCAGCCCCTAACCTTTTGGGCACCAGAGACCGGTTCCATGAAGAAAGTTTTTTCCGCAGACTGGAGGGGGCATGGTTTTGCATGCTGCCTGCATCCTGCAGATGGGGCTTTCCTTGTTTGTGCGGCCCGGTTGCTGACATGCCACAGACTGGTGTCAGTCCACAGACTGGGGGTTGGGGATCCCTGGTCTAGGCAGTCACCTGCAGTCAAGACTGACTCAGAAACACATATAGCAAATCCTACAGCAACAGGATTCTCCTTCTGCTTTAATTCATAATTAAAAAAATGCTATGAATTTTAAACAGTGGTGTTATTTCTCTTTTTAAAATGATAAGGTGATCATCTGATCAGCATGTGCCCCTCTTCTTACCTTTAAAATTCTGCAAAATCATATATACCCCCAAGTTTTTCTCAGTAAACTTTCTATTTTTTGAGCTCTTGTTAGGAAACTTTGTTAACAGAAAAACCTTATTAATCTCTCTTTGCTAGTTACATACGTTCTTACTTTATTATGTAGAAGATAATGTACTCTCACGGTGAAGTAGAAACATGATTAAAGAGATTAAAGAGAAAATTCTTCCAATATGTCTACTGATTTACTGGCTATGAGTATACTGTATATATTCTGTTTTATGCTCTCTTTTAGGATTGCTCTAAACATTTAAACATGCTAAAATTTTATGAGAAATTTTATAACTGTTTTTCTCTTGCTTTTTTAGCAATTATTCAACTGTCAAGCTCTACGTAAACTGAGTATCCCAGACAATGACCTTTCAAGCCTGCCAACCAGCATTGCTAGTTTAGTTAATCTCAAAGAACTTGACATCAGTAAAAATGGTAAGGAAAAAAAATATGTTTCATTTTCTTTCACCACATTCAAAAATAGTTAGCAAGGGAAAGATAATAGTTATTCTATTCTTTTTTTTCAAGAGATTACAAATATACCTAACTTTATTTCCAGAATATCATATATGGATAATTTAAAAGCAAACACATTTGAATAAAAAGCTTTCTTGATTTGAGAACACCTACTATACTGACATACTCAACTACCATCATATAATAACCACATTTCAGAAAACTGTACAGACATATGACACTCTGCAAATAGTAGTGTTTGAATGCTATTTGCTGCTGTGCCCTCAGTAGTTGAATTCTATATCTATCTGCCTTGTTTAAGCTGATGTAGGGAAATAGAAAGAGAGTAAGTCAGCAGAGCCATTGTAGTAACTACTTCAGTTTTCAGAAGAGCCCCATTATTCCCATAAGGCCAAGATACAAGTTGTTAGTATACCTTAAATATACTTCATTTTGAATTTAAATTGCATTTCCACAATCAAAACTATTTCAGTCAATGTTAACTATAACAAAATAATTTCTTATTTTGGTAAACAAATTCTTTATGCAAATTGGTTAACTTTTATAAAATAGAAAAAATACTTTCTGCTCTTGTTAATGTAGAGCAGGGGTGTCAAACTGGTGGCCTGCGGGCCGATTGCATCATACAGAGGTCGCGCCCTCCCCAGCTCCAGCAATGCGAAAAAGTCACAATACGTTGCGACACATCACGTGACATGGCGAGTTTGACACCCGTGATGTAGAGAGATATATGTACAGCATTAAATAATATAAATGCCATATTTCATTGTGAACCAGTATATTACTATGAAACCAATGCATAGTCGATTAGTTTACAAATAGTCTTGTAAATTTAAGTTGAAGCTACAGAATTGATAGTCTTTTACTGCATTGGTTGGACTCAGAAACTATAATTCAGTAACTAAGATTGTAATTCAGAAACTAAGATAAAAAACAAAAATTGGAATTTGAAGAAGAAGGATAAAGTATTACTGCTTTTGAGCTTTGTATTGGAGAAGACATGAAAATACTATGGTGGATAGCTAAGAAAACAAATCAATGTGTCATTGAAAAGATCAACTCAAAGTTCTCATTCAAGGCACAAATGATCAGGCTCAAATTACCATACTTTGAACAAGGTATGCAAATACCTAAAGCTATGGAGAAAGATCTAATAGTGGGAAAGGTAGAAGGAAAGAGAAGAAAAGGACAATTAGCAGGGTTGATGGACTTTTGGAAGACATGACAGACCGGGGTAGGGACAGATCTTCATGAAGAACATCTAGCAATGGGGGTGCTAAAGTCAACAACAACTTGATGGCCCTTAATCAATCAATCAGGATAAAAAACATTTAGGAAAGGCCTAAGGGAAATAGGATCAAGCAATAGCACTTGGAAAAACATCATTGCACAGTTGAATAGGTTTTTCTAAAAAGCCAGAGCCAAGAAGGCTTCTATTAAGCTTTCAACAAATAAATATACAGCAAATGCTCAAAATATACTGAAGGCTGACTTCACCAATCCTTCAATTTTACAAAATAGGTAAGAAATGCAATATCTAAATCAAAGTCCTTTTTCAGAAAACGTTTGGAACTAGGAATTTATTGTACTACTAATTGCATAAATCAGTTAAGATATTATGAGTATTCATTTTGTAGTTTACCATTCTTTTCTATTCTTTCCATCTGTTTATGTGACCAGTTTTATTTATGTCCAGTTTTAATCTGAAACCCCAAAAAATGGAACCTAGCATATTCATTGCTATGTGCATAAAGGATGATTATTAAAAAGAAGCAGACAGGTGAAAAGCTTGAAGAGAGAGTATGATATGACATTTTATCATCATATTTATTATTTATCAAATGATGCTGGTAGAACAATAGCCTCCTGAACTCTATATTGCTTTTTAGACATTCCATATAACATTTTAGAACAGTGGCCCCCCAACTTTTTGAGTGCCAGGGACCAGTTCTGGGGAGAGTGGTTTTTCCATGGACCGGTTTCACACACTGCCTGGATCCCGGGCATCTGTGGATGGGGCTTCACTTGCTTGCATAGCCTGGTTCCTGGTGGGCCGCAGATTGGTGCTGGTCTGTGGCCCAGGGGTTGGGGGCCCCTGTTTTAGAATGTTCAATTGTTTTGAACAATTATTTGATCAAGAAGATGTTTTGTTTACTAAACAACAGCAATATTCCTTGGTTCATAAACTCAATCCTCTAAAACAATTGTAAGGGGAAGACTGAAAAAAATGCTTCCTGGTTTAAACTAGCCAAAGTTTATTAGAACTGGGAATTCTAGTTTAGTTTACATTATAGTTTGTTGAATGCAACCAGGATAAGAATCTTTGATTCTGACTAGTGTTTAAAAAAAAAACAACTATTGGTTTTGAGACAGTTTATGCTGTCTCATCTATGCTGGAGAAAAAAATGAGGTGGGGGCAGACAAGAGAATGTAGCATTACCAGACTAATTTGTATGTCATAAGCTTTGTGCTTTAACTGATATTTTTGTCTTAGTTCAAATGAAAATTTGGTTCTTGAAATGGTAGTTGCTGGAGACTAGGTGTGAAGCAAAGAGGGAAGGTACATTTTTTATTTTTGTAGGTATCTAGCATCGGAACAAATCATTTCTCATCCCCTTGTCAAAATAAAAATAAATATTTAGAAAATAATCTAGAGCGCCGTCTCTTTTTTTAGAAATAAGCAACTTGGGAACAATGAAACCAAAGAGCTCTCTGGAAATGAACAGAAATGCTACTTGGAGAATTTTTGAAAATCTCATAGCTGTTTTCACTGATAGAAATAACTACAAGTGCAACTTTTCCTAGGAATGGGGCTAACTCAAAAGTGCAGTCCGAGTACTGCCCCTGTTTCATACTCCTGCAAAATATTACATTAATTATAGAGAAAATTAAGAAAGAAAAATAATGTTCACTTTATATGTTTGTGTTTAAGGAAACTCAGTTTTGTTCTGCCATATATATGAAAATTATGAGGAGTTTTTAGATACTTATTTATTCAATAACTTGCAGCAGAATCTCATAGAATCTTTGATGACCCAGCTAAAAAGTTGTTCTACAAGAGGAAGGACATATGTATAGATTGTATAGCACAATTTAATATAGTTTCCATATTAGGCTGGGAATTGCCTAAAACTAAGCAATTTCTAAAAGCACAGGAGAGTTTTATGAGCAAAACAACATCTCAAAAAGGCCAAATTCTTACAAATTAATTCACTTTAATTTTACAGCATTTTGTTTGGATAACTCTGTTGATCCTATCTTGTCGGAATAATAAAGAGTTAGATAATATACAGAATTTATCATTAAAATAAATGTATTATTTTCAAACTCCTTAGGGATGATGGTGCTATTTTATCACTTTTTAAAAGAGCTCCTCTCTGTGAATTTGCTTCCAGCTTTGAAAACCATTTAATATATTGCTTAATATTTTAAAACTAGTTCACCTCAATAAAAAGACTCTGATTTAAAAAGAAAAGCAAGTAGCAGTCAGTTTAAGAAGAATTCTATCTTTTTTCTTAAAACTGCTAAAAGAGCTGTATGTTTATAATTTCAAAGGGTTGGTTGGTGTGACAGAACTTTTGAAGATGTAATATTTGTGATACCAAATAAGTACAAAAGTAAAGTGACCAACTTTTTTACAAATGAAAAGGAGGACACAAATAAATTGAAGAAAAAAATATCGTAAAAACTGGCTCAGCTCATGGAAGGTCAACCGCCTGCCGTGCCCCCACCTGCAGCCGCCCCGCCAGCACTGCTGCCCTGCCATGTAGAGTGGGCCCCGCGGCTCCCAAAGCACCAGCCATGCCACCTCCAGCCCTGGAGGGCAGCCCGCCATCGACACACCCCACCTGCAGCTGCCCCGCCAGCACCACCGCCCACCCTGCGCAGCCCCGTGTAGAGAGGGCCCCGCGGTTCCCACAGCACGGTATCTTCGGAACTAACTAGGAGATGGTGTAGTTGGGTAGCAGGCAGGGGTGCTAAGTTCCTGCCAATTTGCCTTCGCTGCAGACAAGTTGCATGTGCAAAGTTTGCCGATTGGGTGTTTGGCACGCTCAGCAGCAATTCCTATTGGCTTTCGAAAACCAATAGGGGGAGTAGCACAACTCATGCAAAAGTTGAAAAAAAAACCATCAAAAAAAGATGCCAGAACACCATTCTGAGCATTCTATGAGGAAAAAAAAGCCCTGCAGATTAGTCTTCAAATATTAAAAAGGAGGACATGTAGGAGGACACTTTTTGAGGGAGAACAGAACTTACAAAAGGAAGACTATCCTCCCTAAAGGAGGACGGTTGGTCACCTTAACAAAAGTCATCTTTGGTTGCCTGTGTTCAGCTGTATTGTTCTGCCGTACGAAGAATTTTCAGCAGATGCTTGTTTTAGGCGCTCCTTTTTTAAAAAAACAAAAAACAAATACACATACAATATTCATTTTTTTGATTCCTGCAATTTTTTTCCAATCATACTCTGAAAGATTATTGAACTTCCAAGATACTGTAGTAGGGATGAAGATGAAGATCTAGTTCTCCCAAACCTAATACTGGAGGAGAGTACACAAGATAGCATTTAACTGATTTAGACCCACATCCTAAAGCTGGCTGGAAAAATTGATAACATGAAATTAAAATTTTAATTAACAGAGAATGATCCTCTTTTAAGTTACAGATAGAATTTAAATACAGTATGTTACTAAGAACACTAAGAACCAGTTAAAGAAATTCAATGGAATTCTTATCCTTGCAGCCACAGTTACAGTCCTCCTCCTCCTCCTCCTCCTCCCTCTTCTTCCCCTTTTTCTTCCCCTTCTTCCTTTCCCCCTCCTCCTTCCCCTGATTTCCAGTGGTTTAAATTAAATTCACAGGTGAGCAAGGAGGGGTTGTCCTTCCTGGTCCACTGATGTGGCAGAACTGAAATTGAGGATATATATGCAATTCCTCCTCCTCCATTTTTAAGCTGTCTGCTAGATTAGTTCCAAATGTAATCAGAAGCAGAAACAAAACAAACAGCCCTTTAAAAAATAAAACACATTAGAAATGCTCATTCTTTTTCAAAGAGAAAATGTCTTTGAACAAGGACAGCATCCTATTTTCTGAGCAATAAATTCCGAATGTGATTCTTTGTTTTTCTTTGTCGTTTATTTGCAGCCTCTTTTGCATTTTAACTAAGCTTATATACTCCATTTTATTTGCAGAATAAACATCTACACTATGCATAGTAATAAAAAATAAGAACTTACAATAATGGTGACTCATGGGCTTAGAAGAAAATTTGTATGCTTTCAGGCAAAGCAAATAAAACCTACTTGAGCATGCCATCCTATTATTGTCTTGCACTAATTCTTAATAGATTATTGTGACTAAAGAATACTAGCAGCACGTTCTGATATTAATACATAATGATTGGGAAGAATGGATTTTGAAATTAATAGAACTAGTCGCGATGGTGAAATTAACTGCTTTGCTTAGCAGCAGTGACTACATTTCACATGACCTGGAGGCCATTGTTAGATTTCTTACAAAATAAAGAGAAGAATTTTGAATCTGGGATTTGAAGATTAGTTGGGATTTGACTAAAGAAATAGTGTAGCTTTTTAAATATAAGGTTATTTCTGTCTTTTAGATGAAATAAAGAGAAGGACATTTTATGAATACTGGCTTTTTAAAAATACGTTGACTACTAGTGTTTTAAAATATTTTATAGATTGGTATTTGTTTAATTTGTGGTGGTGGTATTGTTAATATCTCTGTACTAAAAGAAAGTATTTGTTATGTTTGTTACATTTGTTTGACGTATAACATTTTTGTTGCTGTAATTTGTTTTATCATTCTCTTTTCTCTTTGGGTTAATTTGTATTTTAATGTTTGATGTTGAAATCTAATAAAGATATTATATAAAAATAATCGTAGATAGACATTAGCATATACTCTGAAATTTACAATGTTATATTTAACTAGTTCTTTTTTTTTTAATTTGAATTTGAATCCTACCTCTAGACATCCTGTAAGACTTCTGCTTGGGAAAGGTGCACTTTTTGGTATAGAGACTTGACTGTTTTGTTGTGGCTGTAGAATTGCCCAGCTGCCTAGCAACTCCAAAGAAATATGCTGCCCTCCCTTCTTTAAAATGAAGAAATAAGTGTAATTCTTTTCATAGAGTGCTATTTACATATCCCATGCTATCTGGTATAAATTAGCATTGATTAAAAGCAGTGAGGATTTAGCAGCCTATTGCAATCTTTAAAGTTCCTGGGTATATGGGGAGTAAAAGAGATTACTTTTTATGACAGCTGACTAGTGTTGCTATGATTTTCTCTCCTTATTCTGTAGCTCCTCTTTATCACCAGAACTCTTTTCAGAGAACCATGGGATTGAGCTTGTTTGATGTATGCTTTGCTTTCATAAATTTAAATGGAAAGAAATGCATTAAAGCAAGAATATTAATATGCCACAATATAAATATTAGTATAAAAGGAAACTGCCTGATTGAAAACAAAAACTAAGCTGTGCAAAAAGAATGCAGATAAGATTGATAAATTTGGGGAAATAAACAGAGATTTATTTGACATAAAAATATCAGAATGGGTGCCAATCAGCCTCCTGATTTCAATCTATAATAAGACAGATTAATAACAAGCCAGGGGAAATGGTACATAATCCCTTATTCCTTGCTGGGGGGAAAGTGCACAAAACAATGTTCCATGCATAAGGAAAGAATATAAAAGAATTTGGACAAACTCATCAATGAATATAAGTTGGGTGTTTTTTTTAACCAAAGAAAGAATTTCATATTTTATAATCATTTGGAATAAACTTGAAGAACAGGAGGAAAGCCATTAATTAGACAACAGTCAGATAAAAGGGTCCAAACTAGAACTGTTAACTGTGAGAAAACATCTCAGATAAGCTCCCCCGTAGTTCTCATGAAGATAAAGGCAGGGATGGGGGAAGATTAAGTATCATAGTCTTATAATAAAACTAGTATTGGCCTGCTTGACTCTGGTTTCCTAGTCTAATCTACCTTGAAGAGCTGACAAATATTAAGAAAAAATTGAGAATTGAGAGTGAGAAACTCTTTGATGTATAAATAATTATACTGTATTTTACTACATTTTCAAAATGACAGAAGACTTTGTCCCAATTTTGGTTAAGAGTAGGATTCAGCTGTTAAAAATTGGTATTCTCGCAGGAATGTATATCCTAAGATACACTGGTTGTCTAGACATATTTTAAAACTTGGTTCCTTGGGGTTCCAATCTAGTTGAGCCCCTATATTTATTTGTGAGAAACAGGAGGCTTTGTCCTTAACATAATGTTTAATGTAACCTAATGTTTGGCCCTTGTTCTTTTGTAATATGTTATATAATGGAAAGTCATTTCAGTTGATTGCAGCAGTAAAATTCAGCACAAGAGCTGCATTGATTATCAGTGTATTTGTGGTATTCCCCCCCAAAAAAAATCCAATTCGCCATTTATTCTCCATTGAGTATCACAAAAATTAGTGATGGCAAACTTATGGCATGCCACAATATTTTGGGTGACATGTCAGGATTCTCCAAAATCTGATAACAACTATTTTTAAAAGCATGCCTCATTCTTGCACAATTTTGGGAGGCTGTGGAGGCCACACAAGAATGAGATGTACTCTCACATCCTTCAGACCCTATGGAAGTCAAATGGTCTCCACGGCCTCCAAAATTGCACCTGGATAGGGTATGCATAGGCCATGGAAGAACATTCTCCAAAGCCACTTTGAGAACAAAAGCCTTGTGCAGCCCAGAGAAAACTCAGGTAGGCCACAGGGACCTGTCAACCAAAAGAGAACACTACCTGAAGGTAAGCTGCATGCAGCAGATCTGGAGAGTACTGGTTCATGGGAGCAATCATACCTTGCTTGGGGAAAAGTGTGAGGCAGCATTTTTGAGCGATGGTTCTAGGATTGAAGTCAAGACCAGGCCTCCACTTCAGGCCCGGTCTCAGCACTGCTATCAAATGCTGCTGCTCAGAAGGGCCTAGATATAGATCAGGGGTCTTCAGACTTGGCCCTTTTATGACTTGTGGACTTCAACTCCCAGAATTCCTCAGCCATAAAAGTGTCAAGTTTGAAGACCCCTGATATAGATGGAAGAATAGAGAATTGTTTCTGTTTTGATCAGAGGGGCGGGTGTAACACATCAGAAGAGTCAAATAATTTTCTGAATTTTTGATACATTGAGCCCAAAAGTTTCACCATCGCTGATATGTGGTATTTGCAGTAGTGGTGAATATCTGTAGCTCGGGTGTATGGTGATGGTGAAGATTCATTCTCTGAGCTTGTGGGTTGGTTCCTGAACATTTTCATTACCAGGCTAGTTAACATCTTCAGCAGAGTTTAGGGAATGTCAGTCTCTTTAGTGTCACTGTGTTACTGAAACTGACATCCCCTAAACTCTGCTGAAGATGTTACCTAGCCTGGTAATGAAGTGTTCAGAAACGAACACACAAGCTCGGAGAATGAAATCCTCATATGTGGTATTTCTGTCATATGGTTTAGATATTTCAGTGGTGGTTGCCCAATTGTAAGGTTCCATTAGAATTTATAAAATCAGTGGTGGTTGCACAATTGTAAGGTTCCATTTAGACCAATAATTCAGAGCTTTTCTTTTAAGAAAGGCTTTTAATCTTTATACCCAGAATGGATAGGCTTATATCACATCTAGTGATTATGTCAGATTGTGATGTTAAAAATTATTGCTATATTTTTTATTATTTTTTGACCTTGTAGTGAAAGAATAATAAAACTTATTTTTTTCTCCAGTTTCAGAATGTGAATGAATTACATTCTATGTCATCTAAATTTAGTAAGCCTACACTTATTCTACATGATTTATGCCAAGAATGGAGAAAGTAAAAAAAAAAGAACCTTTAGAAATGAATTGCATCATTATGAGTTTCATACCATATTTATAATGGAAGTATTGCACAATACACCTCTCATACATCGAAAATATTTTAATAATAAGTGTCCAAGGGCCATTAACTGTGTTTATTTGATTATGTCAAGGTCATTGTTGACTTTTAGCAACTGTAAGATAGATGTTCTCAATGAAGATATGTCCCTAACCTCATCTTTCAATAGTGCACTCATCCTCGTACTTCTTGACATATAGTTTATCCAAGAAGCTAGCCTTTATTTCAGCTACAAATAATGGTTTATAGATATTATTTAGATTCAACAAAAACCTTTCTTGCATAATTGGCCTTTTTTTGTACTGGTAAATAACTAGTTGGCCAGGAAACTATTATTCAGATCACGGAACTGTTGAAACCAAGTGAAATGTGAGGAATTATATTAAGTATGTATGAGTAAAATCTGTGCAGAAATATTAATATATATTGGTAAGACTGAACGCTGGGATTGTCATGAATTCAAAGAGTTCAGAATTGTTTAGGATTAAATGAATAGCTTACCTTTTTCTACTGAAATGAATAAATGAGGAAAGTAAGCAGTTGTGTAACAGTTTTGTTTTTCTTTTAGGGATTCAAGATTTTCCAGAAAATATAAAGTGCTGTAAGTGTTTAACAATAATTGAAGCAAGTGTCAATCCTATTTCTAAGTAAGTTCCTCAGTGGATTTTTTCTTTGCCTTTTATGTATGCAAGGTTTAACATATAACAACAGTAATAATAACAATAACAATAATAGAGTTGGAAGGGACCTTGGAGGTCTTCTAGTCCAACCCCTGCTCAGGCAGGAAACCTTATACCATTTCAGACAAATAGTTGTCCAATCACTTCTTAAAAACTTCCAGTGTTGGATATTTGACACTATTTCTTAACAGCTGGTTTTGTTCTTCAATTGCATCTCTTTTAATACTTGTTATGAAGCATCTGTGACAAGATCTACAGCATCATCCATAATAGCCTTTAGAATTGCATCAAAGTGATGATACTGGTTGTAGATATAACAGTAGATAGAACAATAAAAATAAGTCCACTGAATTGAGCTTGATTTGTGGAGACTTCATGTCTAAATCCATGTAATTTTCTTGAGAACAGTATGCAAGTGGTTTATTCCTTCGAGATTTTTTTTTTTTTCAGCTTTCCAATCCAACTTATAACCCTGGTATAAATTAGTAGTCCCCTACTCAGAGTCAATCTTCCTTGGCTTTTCAGTTGGATAGGTGCTGCCACCTAGCTGGGCTGTATGTAGCAATGAGGATTGTGACACTGAGGGAATGAATACATTGGCTAAGGCTGTAGTTTATAACACTGTCATGAAAAGTAAACCTGTGGCATACACTTGAGTTTTGTTCCAGTTAGAACTCAGGATTAAAGAACTTTCTATAAAAAATTGAATGGATAAATCATAGCATATACTTTTTCTGGACAGACTGTGAACAAAGATTACCCCAAGAACAGTAATGTTGGCATATTTGTTGAAAAATAGTTGCCATTCCCTTGATTATAAAGAAATATAGACTGCAAGACAGCAATATTTACTTTAAAAAGATGTAATTCACCTATGATATGACATAAAACTGGGAAATGAGAACAATCATAGATCTAACTAAAGGGCTGTGGTTTATAGTACTTACTATATTGTTTGGGAATTATTTACGTTCTTTTATGTTCATCTTACTTGGTTTATTTATGGTTTTGTTAATAAATTATGCATTAAAACTACTCATGGAATGAAGTTAAGATGCCTTATATATTTTTATATTGATATTATAACTGAAATTATCAATATTTTAGATGAAATATATCCCCTTATGCACAAATTAATGGTCTTGATCTTTGCCCTCTGTTTAATTTAAACCCTACAATACTGATTTATTAATTCTTCCATGCAGTTTTATTTTCCCTATACTTTTTGATTGAGTATTTCAATTTTGGCAATGCAAATAAGGTACAGCATGTATTCTTATAAATAATAATATTTATGGTTATTTTAGAATGATAAATAGCAACATATTTTCCATAGCAGTAATCCTCAGTCAACATAAATTTGCATGCACATAATGTTACTAGTTCCAGTTGCTGTAAAAAGTAGATCATCTAGTTATTTTGAAATTTAATTCACGTGAAGTGCTTACATACACTTGATCTTAGCCAAAAAGCTGGGAAGCATAGATATAGACAAAAAAAGAAAGAAATTATCCAATGCTGCAGTACACTGTGTTACTTGTTTTATAACAGGCAAAATATTACCTCTAACAAATAGGTCAGGCAGTGAGCATGTGGTTGAAGTTATATGGATCTATTGAGACTTAAATTTTGAGATTTCCTACGCCATTAATGCTAAATATTTTACTCATTTTTTTAAGGCTCCCAGATGGTTTCACACAGCTTTTAAATTTGGCCCAGCTATATCTAAATGATGCCTTTCTGGAATTTCTTCCAGCTAACTTTGGAAGGTAAGTTTTACATATGTGAATTTCCTCTAATCTTAACTAGAAAAACAAAGGATTTTAGATTACAGAAAATATGATTACAAATTTAAAGAGTTGCAGACTAAGAATAGACTGTTTAATGCCAATGGATCTTCATTGTTTTTCAGAAATAGAACTGTGATTTAATAAGTCTGAGATAACTGCTTTGTAGGCTTGAGGAAAGAAATCTGTCCCAGTACAGGAAAACTATTGGAGTGGCATATCAGTACAGATAAAAGGATAGTTCTAAACAGAATAGAAACAATGACTAGTGGCATACACATTTAACATAAGACAGTTGTTCAATCTGTAGATGTAAATATAGAATCATACTCCAATACTTCATACTCAATTGGAGTATCTACCCTAGTGGATTGTACAACTAATTGTTGGATTATAATTGTGATAGGAAATAATGTTTATACTAGTGGGAAAGTAATACCGTGTTTCTCCGAAAATAAGACCCAGTCTTATATTTTTTTGCCTCCAAAAGAGGCATTAGGTCTTATTTTCAGGGATATCTCATTTTTTTCATGTACAGGAGGCAATGTGTGTGGGGGCTGATGGGAGTGGGAGCAGCCTTCCTCCGCCCTGCATGTGGCCCTGCTGTGGCTAGGACACTTCTTGGCTGCAGCGGACACTGTGATGGCCGCTGAGCAGCTGCCCATGCTGCTGCTGGCCTTGTAGAGGTTCTCAGCCACCCTGCCTGTGCATGGGAGGGGGTGCGCGGTGCGACTCAGCATAGCAGTGGGATTGGCAATGTGGGTAAAGCGCCACCCCGAGCTGGGCTTGGACCCACCTCTCAGTCCCTCCAGGCTCCTGGAGGTGTTTCTAGTGCATTTTCACCAGCCCCCACCATCCTGTGGCACCAGGCAACTTTGCCACCGAGCGCTCCTCTCTTCCACAGCTCACCTTGTGACTCTGGCAGGCGATGACCCTAGTTTCATCTCCGTCTCCAGTCGTAGTGGTGCTGCCCCTGGGCCTGTCTGTCCTGACTATGTATGGACTGGCAACATGCTGCCTGCTTCCCCCTCTTTCCTCTCTTGCTGTGCGGAAAGTGGGCCCTCTACTTCTCCTGCAGCTGCTCTGCCGCCATCTCACCTTCCACCCAGCCTGCCATCAAGTCCCAGATCTCCAGTATGATCTCTGGATGTCCCACTGCTGCTGGCCTGCTGCCGCCAGAGGTGAGGCGAGATGGGGTGGGGGTGGAGCTACCTCCCTCCACCTGCCAAACACCCACGGAAGCTGTGCAACGCAGGGGGGGTGCACCACCTGGCCTCTGAAATGCATGGGACAGCTCCAGCGGGAGATAGTGGAGGCTGGTGGGTAGCATCTGGGAAGAATCCACATTCTGCATCAAGTAAACTTTAAAGAAAGTTAAACAGTCTGGCAGCAAAAATCCAGCAGCGGGGGGAAAAAACCTAGTTTCACATATGGGGAATCTGCACTGCTCGCCTCCGCCCATGCCTCTGTCTCTACGTGCTCAACCTGCTAAAACCAAATGATTGATTGAGCAAAGTGAAGGTACAGGGCAAGGTGGGTGAAACTGGGTTTTTCCCCCCTCTGCTGGATTTTCACTGCCAGACTGTTTAACTTTCTTTAAAGTTTACTTGATGCAGAATGTGGATCCTTCCCATTCAGCAAAAGATAGAAAAAAAAGTTTCGGAGGAACCTTCTTGCGAATCTGCTGTTGCTGCTCCCAGTTTTCCAAAGGGAACTTCCAACTTCACAAGATCCTTTTTTTTTTTTTCATGAGAAGTTGGAAGGTCTGGTTGAACTTTTTTTTTAACCAGTAGCCCTACAAACTTCTTTTGTTTCCCTGCATGTGACAGCAGAGAAATGCAACGGAGAAACGTGATGGAGACAGAGAAACACAGTGGAGCTGGAAATCAGGCTAGCAAAGAAATGCCTGAGGGAAATGAGGGCAGCTGGGCAGTGGTGCTTCTTATGGCAGAAAGTGTGAGGACTGTAATCATGACCCAAAGCCTGGCATGAATACTCTGGGAAGGCGGTGGGAGTGCCGGGCTGCTGCTGCTCAGGAACTGAAATGGGGCATCTGCTTGCAAGCACAACTTTGGGGATGGATCCACCACAGGAGGGAGCGACATCTCCCGTAGAGAAGCAAGGGCATCTGGGCAGTAGTGGGTCAAGCTCACAAGCTCCGTGGCAGCAGAGAAATGCAATGGAGTTGGAGCTAGAAAGCGGGTGGCAAGGCAAATCCCCTAAGGGCACCAGGTGCTGAAACGGGCCTATCTCTCACCAGCAGCTGCCCAGGCCCTCCGGAGGGAAGGCTGGCATCTATTGAAACATGGTGGCATTCTGGATCTGGTGGGGAAGGGACAGCTTGCACAGGCACTGCATGCTTCAGCACCTTCCTCAACCCTCCAGGGCTCCACTTGTTGCTTCGGTGGCTGTGTGGGCAAAGCTACGAAGGGGGCCAAAACTGCCAGTATAGGGACAATGAAGAGCTGCAGGTCTCCAGAGCTGCCGCATTGAAATGGCGAATAGGGACTAGGTGGCATGAGACAGATGGAGTAGGAGGAGGCAGTAGCCATTGCTGGGCAGGTGATGGGGTGGGGCAGGGGTAGGGGTGGCAGCTCCACTCCTGCACCTGCCTTGCCTCAACTTGTGGCAGTGGCACCAGTGCAGTCTAAGATGGAGTGAACAGGGTCTTAACTAGGACTTATTTTTGGGGTAGGGCTTATACTAGGCCCACCCCCCAAAAGTCGGGCTAGGGATTATTTTGGGGGTAAGTCTTATTTTCTGGGAAAAAATAAGAAATAATTTATAATCTCTATAAATCTTTGAACATAATAATATTAATATTATCAATATTTGTGATTGTTCCAAGGATAAATGCACATGATCATGTAAAGAGAAAAAAAAGAAAGATAATTTTTTTGTATTTATTTTCATTTATCAACAAGAGTAAAATCCAAAACAGAAAAACATCCAACATTAACAAAGAAAAAAATGAGGAAAACATTCTTTGTGTACAAAAAAAGGTGGGGCAAATGTCGAATACATGTAATTCCCCAGATACAAACGTTTATTTAATTAATTTTCACAAAAATGAATTAATTCGGAAAGGGTACATATGTAAAAATGCTAGCCAGCCTCCTCACAAAGCATTCTATAACATTATGTTTCCTTGTTTTATTTTGGAGATTAGCATATATTACTGTACTTTTAAATTTAAATTGCCTCCAGAAGTTGTGGATTCTCCATTACTGAAAGCTTTTAAGAAAAGACTGGATAGGCATTTATCAGAAATATCTCTTGTGAAAGCAGTGGGTTAGACTAGTGGTGGCGAACCTATGGCATGCATGCAAGTGGGGGCACTCGGAGCCCTGTCTGTGGGCACGTGCACCATCATCCCAGCCCCACCTCCCCCACAGCCCCCTCCTCACCAGCACCCCCCGGAGGAGAGTCGGCCCCGGACGCGGCCTGCATGGAGCAGTGCAGCCAAGGACATAGCCAGGCAGCAGGGACAAGACTCTGCCCTCATGCTCCATAGCATGCAGATGATGCTGCAGGGTATGGGAGGGCGTGGCTGCCATGGCATTGCAGGACTGCCTGGGCAATCTGCTGCAGTGGGCCATGGAGGTGGTGCATGGCCCTGCGGGGATGCGGGGCAGGCAGCGGAGCAGGCAGGACAGGAGGCAGAACAGGGGCAGGGGGTGGGTTTTGGGCACTCGGTCTATAAAAGGTGCGCCATCACTGTACTAGATGATCTCAAGATCCCTTCCATCTCAGTTACTGTTGCAAGCCAACAGTTCTGTAAATCCCATCCCCAGCTGCCTCTGGATGCTTGGCTGGAAATGCTTAAGCTAGTAGCAAGTGTTTTTTTAAAAAACAGTCGGAGAGTTTTGTAAACCCAACCCCCTCTGAAGAAGCTTGAGCTGCCTAGCAACAAACAGTTTTTAAAAAAGCACTGCAAAGTGAGAGCCTGCTGCCTGATTGGAAGGCAATTTAGTTCCTGAAACCAGAAATAGCTGATAGGCAGCCAGCAGCAAGAGTGAGAAAAGGCTCTCAGTTCAGGCAGCCATTGGAGGAAATAGTAAGTCAGATCTTCATTCATTTAATGACCCATTTGATTCAATTAATGAATTTTTAATTTTTTTTGAAAAATTGAGTCTGATTCATTTGATGAATATTTTGACTTATGAGCCTAATGTGCACGCTCCATTAGATTCATACTTCAGGAAATACCTGTATATCTGTCTTAAGCATAAAGAATCCATCCTGGCTAGATGCTGAAAAGTAAATAAATTTTGTAAAAATGATATGTTCTCCAACCCTTATATAACAGGTCTACAAATAATTATGAATTTTCCAATCCGAGAGAATTTTTTTAAAAAAAAACCATAATAAATTAACAATATAGGGAAACTGATAATCATGTAAAATGGCAAAGACATTGGGAATTTACAAGCATCACAAATAATAGTTTCTGTTTAGTGGTTCAGCAACGTAGGAACAAATCCTTTGCTTGCATATTCCTTTGTTTGTACTTTCTATTTAATCCACTTTTGATGTATAGCAAATCATAATTTGCTTTTATATCTGGTTTTCGTTATCCTACAAATTTTGATCAATTTTTGACCTATAGTCATGGATGGCAGAGCAAAGAATGTTTGCCTGAATACTATTTCCTTACTCTTTCCCCAAAATAGGTATATACCGTATATGCCGGCGTATTAGGCGACCCGGCGTATAAGACGACCCCCGTCTTTATAGCCGGGCCGCATTCCTATAACGTCGTCTTATACGCCGGAAACTACCAGTATTTCCAGCGTATAAGACGACTCAGCGTATAAGACGACCCCCGTCTTTGGCGCCGATTTCAGCGCTCGTGGAAGTTTTCTTATACGCCGGCATTTACGGTAATTACTTTTATTTCACAGGAGAAGGAGTTATCTACAGTAACATGAATGCTCAATTTTCCTCTATTACATGAGACAACATAATTAAGATGACTCTTGCTAATTTCAAGTTCTTATTTAATTAAATATATCATATTTAATTAAATTTCTGATTAATATAAAATCTGTGTTGAGATCCTTGTTATTTCTTGATTTCAAATTTCAGGCATTTCTTTGAGATACTTAATTAGAAGGAATAACCAGTATTGGGGGAAAAAATCTTCATGGAATAGTGATAAAAAATTATATGGATGTTCCTGTTAATCACATAGTTTAATTTATGGTTTAATTTATTATGCAAATATGCGCATTGAACAGGAAAACTGGTTTGCTATATACTAGAAAACAGTTAAGATCTTACAAAGAGAAGAAGTCTGCGAAAGCCAAAATCTTGGTCATGTTCTTTGCCTCAACTTTTAGCCCCTACATTGCTGCATATTAAGGTTTTGTCCTTCCAGAAAGAAAGGAGAATATGTGTGTAGTATATGTGTGTAGAATTATGAAAAGTATGTATGTTATAGTAAACATAATTGTATTCATAACTATTGGAAAATAATAGTTGTTATGATTTACTCATGTCCATACAGAACTATAAATACTGTGCACTCCTTCAACTTTGCTTGAGTTTTCTTCTAAAAATATTTGAATACACTGAGACCAATGGCCATTTGTTGAGCTAGTAATGGGAGAAAGCTGGTCATGAAATGCTGAACCTCTTGTTCTTGCCTATATAAATAACATTTAGAACTTGAACTTGACAAGAGTTAATGGATCTTTTTTACTGATTCCTACTCCCATTTTCTGTGTTTCCTTCTTGACAAAGTGATCTGAATTAACTGGCTCTGAAATCCAACTCCCAGTGCTTATTCGCCTCAATAATTCTTCAGTCTAGATCATTTCAGATTTTAAAGACTACAGTTTGAAAATAAACCATTGCCTCAAAATGTCCTGTATTAGAACAGAGTCATTTCAGATCTTAGTTGATATAGGAATAGCACTTATAGTTATATATCGCTTCAGTGCTTTACAGCCTTCTCTAAGCGGTATACAGAGTCAGCATATTGCCTCCAAAAATCTGGGTCCTCATTTTATCAACCTCGGAAGGATGGAAGACTGAGCCAACCTTTAGCCGCTGGAAATCAAACTGCTGGCAGTTGGCAGAATTAGCTTGCAATACTGCATTCTAACTACTGTGCCACCACGGCTCTATATAATTCAAATATAATTTGAAGCTGAACACAAATAGCAAGACTATGTCCCTTCTCTTTTCTTTTCCCTTCTTTAATGCTTATATCTGGCATAATCAATACATTTGAAAGAAGTTTACTAATTTCTATCTTTAATCACAGTATGTAGTTGTTTTAACATTACAATTTGCAAACTGACATGTCCCTTGAGACAGTATACTTGTTTAATTGAATAGATTGGTTAGTCTAAAACTGGGCACCTTAGCCCAGGTATTGGGATCACTTGATTGGAAAAGGTATAAATAAAGCCAATAAGGGTTTGTCATGTACTTCAGTGGCCCCCAACCTTTTGGGCACCAGGGACCGGTTCTGTGGAGAAAGGTTTTTCTGCGGATCAGAAGGGGCGTGGTTTTGTGTTCTGTCTGCATATGGGGCTTTGCTTGTTTGTGTGACCCAGAATGCCACGGACTGGTGCCAGTTCACGGACCGGAAGTTGAGGACCCCTGATTTACTTGATCATTTCATAAGAATTGTTTCCAATACATGCAATGTCATGTATCCATATTCTCATATTTGTATGAGAATAGGTTATGTCAGATACTTCACAGAAAAGCAGGGAAAGCAAGCAGAAATATAATGCGCAAGGTGAAGAATTACACATATACATAATTTATAAGCTGTACATATCTCCTGCAGCTCACTGTTCTTAACTACAGTTGAGGTGCTCCAAATGCACATTGCCTGTGTCAGAAAAAAAATGGGAAGGTCAAACTGCAATTTGCTCACAGTTTTTTTTTTTAACGAATGGATAAATATTGACTTGTCTTCTACTATAACGAAATGTGTAGATATCATTTCCCTTTTTGATATATTATAATTTTACATTCTTTCATTGTTGTCAGTTATTACGTGCTTTAACATAAAAGCATCTATATAGCTTTAGATACATTGATGTTACAATTTTGGATCTTGTAATTTCATTATTTTAACATATCTTCTAGACTTAAGATAGCAAAATAGAAACTAAGCATGTTGCATTAGATATAAATTTCCACAAAAATCATTTCCTGTAAATAAGGGGGGGGGGTTGTCCCACAATATGATTCTAATGTATTTTCAGATAAAATAAAAGCTTCTAAATTATAGATGGAAAAAAGGTATTTGGGGAATCTTTACTTAAAATATATGTATGTTAAAAATAGCAGTTAATATCTAAAGCTTTTATAGTTTGTTTACCCTGCAAATTGCCATATTGCATTTTCTTTTAAGCATTTTAAATACCTGATATCTCTATAACTCTTAATTAACCATCGTGAGAGATGTTTGAAAACATTACATGTTTTATTCTCTCTAAAGACGCTAAAGTTTACAGGACTAATAGCTCTCTATCACTGTTAATGTTTGACATTTTCAAAAGAACTTTCTTTTATCTCCCATAGGATGTTTTTCTTCCTAAAATTCCTCTTTCCCAATTAACTTACAAAAATGCAATTAATTCATTTTTGTTAGTGCTATAGAAAAAAAAATAAATGTATACATGCTGAATCATGCTCATGGTATTTTCCATTTGCTCTGCCTTGAGTAAATATCAAAAGTAGTAACTGATGGCAACCTACATTTATTGAAGCCTTTTGTACTTTTTTCTCTCTTTAATTGCTCCAATGGGGATCATCAAGATTTCCTGAAGAACATTGCCAGCAATCATAGATGAGTAATGTCATCTAAGTTAACATTTTAGAGCTAGAAATATCTGCTGAATGTGGAGATTTAGCATATTTCCCTGGTAGATGTAATCAGAAATTAATTTAAACCTGTTAATTTCAGCTGCAGACATACAGTATGATTGTCATTTGAGATTTTGCAGGTGCATAGGAATAATTAAATATACATGTGTGGCTTGCATTATTGGCAGTAGAATAATGAACTCTCTAGCAATTAATGAATTCCTACTCTAAATATTTTTTAATCTTTATTACTTCCAGACTTGTTAAATTACGAATATTGGAGTTACGAGAGAATCACTTGAAAACGCTGCCAAAGTAAGTGGCTTTAAATTATAGCAAACAGAAATATTCCAAGCACATAATTTATTCTTTATTAAATATTGTGCTGTATGTTTTTTTCTGGGCAATTCTCATTTCAAGTTGTGACTTATATCTTTTGGAGAATTATTCATTGGGATATTTATTTTAGTTAAAATTGTAAATGATAATCAAGTATTTAGAAAAAGGAAATAAATTTAAAAACAGAAGCTCATTTCGAGGTGCAGTAAATATATTTTTAAGCAAAATTCGGTAACACATTTTATATAAGAGCTCATATACTGGATAGCACTATATTTTCATAGTGTCCCTAATGCAGAATTATCTATCTCAGCTGCCTGCTGACACAAAATCTTCCCACACCTAATGCTGTATTCAAATACCAGGAAATTCCAGTCATCATGAATTTGTCACATGAAGTATATTTTTGATTTTTCATTGACAAATAATGTTCTGTCAGTCTGTTAGCTTTGATTAGTAATGATTCACAAACCCTCTCATTCCATTCTGATGCATATTTCTCGTCTTCCACATCATGTTTGACATGCATAAGTAAGATGAAGGCTACTCTAACCAGGTTATTTCTTAATAATGACCAAAGAATTTCAGAGACTTGCTATGTCAAAATTTATTAAATGTCTTTATGCCTATTTTACAAGAATGCAGTATGCATTATACTTCTGCACCTCTATTAATATTTGCAATATATCTTGGGATACAAGAGTTTTATATAACCACCTATGTAGGTTATATTTATATAGACTATCAGGGCTTGTTGAAAGTTATCTTTTCTGCTGAAAGGATTATTTTTGTCAATGTTACCTCTGTTCCACAGTCCCACATGATCTCTCAAAATATTGACCTTATTCTGTATAGCAGGGGTGTCAGACTGCTGGCCCGCAGGCCGGTTTCATCATACCAAAGCCGTGCCCAACCCATTGCCTGCAATGCAAAAAGAGTCGCGATATGTCACGACACGTCACGTGACATGGCGAGTTTGACACCCGTGCTGTATAGCATAGGAAAGGGGCAGTGAAAGCTGCAGAGGATAAAGAAAGTTGAAAAGAAAAAACCCTTCCCATTTATTCCTCTGGATCAGTGAGCTTTCCATTCATAGAAATAGTCAGCATTGCAGTATTGCAGTCAGTCAGTTTCTACAAATTAATTGAGGTAAGTGAATTAATAAATAGGGAACATTTATAAAAGCTGAACAAGGTTATATCAGATAATGATAGGACAATTTTAAAACACTGTAAATATGAAAAAATAATATAATACTTTTTCCTCCTTCTGTTTTCCCCACAACAACCACAACCCTCTGAGGGGGATTGGACTGAGTGAGTGAGTGACCCAAAGTGTTCGCTGCCTTAAGTTATTTATAAAAAATAATAAAGGCAGTAATAAATAAAAATAAATAAATAGAATATGTTTTCTTGTTTTTATTTTTAATCAACAGTTGCCAAGATCCTATGAACATAATTAGGAATTGTATTTAAATATAAATTTACCCACTCCTAAAAAAACAACTTTAGAATGTCTGCCCCATGTACATCACAAATGCAAAAAAAATTTTTTTAAAGAAATTAGAATGTTAGCTCAGAAAAAATGAATATAGCTATGGCCGTGTCAAGTAAGCCTTAAATGTTAAAGCTGATAAAACGGTAATGGCTGAATTTTTGCTTTGAATTTTTTGGAACAAAAAATTTCTTTCTTTCCATCTTGAATTAGACCAGGCCTTAATAATGTATTTTGAAATTCAGATGATTGTACTAAGCATCCCTTCTCGTTTGGATAAAACGCAAAACAGAAAAACAAACAAACAAGCATCCCTTCTCCAAAGAGTGACATTGTGGTGGTATTATACCTCAAATATACCTGTTCTCTAATACAGAAAGACTGCAATTTAGTTGAGACGAGTCTCTTTTTACAAGGCTGCTGATATCATATGCAGGGCAATTTGAAAAGACCCTCTCCCCATCCCATATCATTTGAATGCTATTGGAATAACCTGTTAATTGAAGACAAGAGTTTCAGGTATCTGGTTGATCCTTAGTAATAACATTACTGATATGGATGAAAGGATTGATAGAAATTTGCTTCAACAAGCCTATACAGGAAGAAAGGAAATAATCCTTTTGATAAGCACATAATTGCTACTCTTGAAAAACATTCTGACAGAGCAATTACTTGAAGAGAGGAAATGATATAGGAGGAAGATTAATAACTTCTACCTTTGTGCAAATAAGGTGTCAATGTGGATATAGGTGGGAATGTGCGAATATATATATTTGATGTATGGTGGATATTATTACTAAGCTTTAGCATCCTACTATAGGCATCCATAGAAGAAAATACTTAGTTAACTCTGTAATATATATCCTTTACTAAGATGGGACATAAAATATTTATCTTGAAGTGGGGACATTATTGCTATCATCATCATATGTCTCATTGATTGAGAGCTTTGTGTTTGTTCTTTCAAAATTTAGATTTAGTATATGCCATATGTACACATAGTTTCAGAAACTGAGATGAAAAACTATGTGTTATTTTTGCAGAACTGGCACCTTATGTCTTCATACAATCAAGTTTGGTTGAAATTTCCAAATACCTTACATATATCTGAGAATTGTGTTAGTAGAGCAATATTTTTTTTAAAAAATAAAACAATAGATATTCTTGAATTGACAGTGTGGATTATTGCATGTGCTGGTCTGGAAAATATTTTTTTATTAAAAATGAAGTTAAAAACTTGGTTGTATAGATTTAAAATTAGGCGAATAGCTAAATAGTTTATATGGATCTCTCAGATATCTGATTTGGAGATATTTTCATTTGGTGATAGCATCATACAGAAAACATCACACAATCTCCTTCAGTAGCATTGTCACTATTTTCATGCCAACTTAAATATTAACTGAATTTCGTACTGAGATCTGAGATTACAGGTGGGTCGCAATTAGTTCAGGTAATCCTGAATCCAATGAATTGATTGTATTATTTTAATTTGCCCTATTCAAAGTGATGTTTTTATGGAAAATATGGTAATTGGTTCCAGCATAATTGAAATTTTAAACCATGAAATATTAAACTAAAGGATGGAAACAATATACTTATAATTTAAATATATAATTTATAATTTAAACTTATGCTTAATAAAATCACTAAGTAGTTATAGAAATCAAATAAAAACAAAAAATTATACCATAGATTCAGGGATTCCTACATCTCATTCTTTTAGAATGTTGCTATGACTATGTCGTATGACTAATTGAATGTCATTCAGTTATATCCATTTTTTGCTCTTATTAATCATGAGCATCTTTTATAAACTTATTTTCCTCTGACAGAATCTTCCATTTTATACAAGCATAGATTAGCAATGTCTAATACCCCAATCTCATATGCACATGCACTAACCTCAATTGTGTTAATTGAATCTTGCAGCACATTAAACGTGACCCGGTATCTAAATCGAATATAACATTATTCAAACTTGCATTAATGTAAATGTTACACTGATTGAAGGTGCAGTGTAAATACAGAATCAAAGCACTGGCCTGTTTTCCTTAATAACAGGGTAAAAAAGAGTATAAGATTTAAAAGTACTAAGCCAAAACAAGGATAATGATTTGTGTGATCATCTTTATTGATAGCAATCTCATTTGCTCTGTAACATACACTTAAAATTGGGGAAAGCAAATAAGTTCAAAATATTTCTTAGTGATGATGTATTATAATGCAAACTGTATTCCAATATGTAAAGATGAACATATGTTTTATGTACACTTGGAACATTGTTTTACCTAGCAAAATAATCAACTGTACTAATAATGGGGAAAAGGTCTTATAAAAGAACTGTAAAATTTATAAAAGAATAGGGTTTCGTTATTCTTTACTCAACAATCAGCTTTTTCTTTTTGTGTCTTCCTCTTTTTTTAGATGATATTGGAGTTATGTTACCTGTAATAGTCAATAATCTGTATCATAAAATTGGTATAATTGTAACTGAATATTGCAAATGATTTGTCAGCATGACTTATCTAATTTTATACTTTGTTAGAGGTTTGCATCAAAATACTTGTTAAGATCGTCATATTGTTAAAGATAGTGTATTTATATAAACAGTTTGACTGCCTGAGTGCATAGTGGCTATTTATCTGGTATAAATAGTTTGGCTTCTGTTTCTACAATTTTTCACATTTCATGAAAAAATAATTATATCTAAACTTGTAATTATATGGATCTTTAGTTGGGTATAAAATTATATGATTATTTATACTCTTCCTTTCACAACTATTAATTTGAGCAACAGTGAATTAAATGTATTTCTGAGTGAACAACATGAATTTGTGAAATGTGAATTTAATATTTTTAAGTTTTCTTAAAAACTGCTAGAAAGCATCACTATTATTTTATAAATATTAGTGACTAAAAGTAATAAGGCACTTGTACTAATCCATGAAATATTTTGTTAGTGTGTATTTAGCAGATATAAAATGCCAAAAGAATTTTCCCATCATCTAGCCCAACTAATTCTCTTATCTGGGATTTTTGAAGGGGCATGTAGAATAACTATTACGTATTATTTAAGTCATAGCTTAGAAATAAGCACATCTTGGACATCCAAAGAAAATTTAATTCCTGAGATCTCATGTTAATGTCAGAACTAGATTTAAGAAAGTTTTTCCCTGAATCTTTGGCAAAAAGCCAAAGAGTCTAATTTCACACTAGAGGTGACTATTTGATTAATTAGCTGACCCCATTTCCTTTGCCCCCCATGTTCTTCCTGCTTCCCTTCCACCCATCTTTTAATTCATATTATTGTACTTTCCTTGTTTATTTTTATTGTTTCATTGTTTTGCTATTGCTATTGCTAGGTTTACATTTTTATTATTTTTTCCATTTTATTGTTATAAGTCATTCAGAGTAGCCACACTGTGAGATGGGCAGCAAATAGATTTATTAAACACAGAAACAAGCAAATAAATGCATAT